CTTGCATATCCAATTATCTACACTTGAATTAGCCACCTGGATGTCCAACACATCTATCATTCACAGTATGTCCAAAATGACATTCTCATTCCTCCTGTCTCCTCAGAATCTCTCATTTTCCTGTGTTTCATAATCCCATCCAAAGCTAGAATCATGAACGTCATCCGTCATCCTCTCTTTCTATTGCCCACACATAATGTGTTACCAAATCCTATTCCTCCGATCCCCCAAATAATGGTGAAATCCGTACTTTCATCTCTATTCCACTGCCACCAGAGACCCTTCCTTCTGTATTACCTGGATTCCTGCAATAATGTTTCCCAACTGAATTCCCTGCATCCAGCTTTGTTTCCAATCCATCTTCTTCACTGTTGACAGGACCAATCACTCCACTCACTTAAAATCCTTCAATGGCTCCCTAAGGTTTTCAGAACAAAGTCTAAACTATTTCAAATGGCATATAAAACCTTTCATATTAAAAGCACTTCTCCCATAAGAAATGATGAAGTGTTCTACTGCACCCTTTCCAGGGCCCAGGTTGCAACTGCTTTTTAATTGCCCATCTCAGGCTAAGATAAAGAATTGCCAAGCCCCAGCAATTTCACTGAAGGGAGGCATCGCCACCCTGAATCAAGTTCAGAGAAGACCAAGTGCTCTCGCCAGGTAACCGGCAGAAGAAAACTATGCCCCTCCACAGTCTCAGGTCCCTTCACAATGCTGGGGCCAAATATAAGTTCCAGGGACAGTCTTTCAATGGGCACTAGAGCCTCCCAATCAAAGGGAGTCTTCTTAACATGATACAAGGCGAACTTACTAAAATGAGTGTCTCCATTTGCATGAATGTCTCCAGAGACTAAAGAAACAATACAGGTAAAGAAGTCATGCTTGGTTATCCATTCATTGTGGCCAGCTGTAGTGCCACATGGCTGGACAACACTGGCATGCTGTAGCAGTGGCTGTGGTGGTGTTTGTCTCACATACAGATAGGAGAATTCCAGACTCTGTGGAACTTGTACATCAACGCAAGAACTATAAAGAAATCACAAGCCTTTCAAACTCAAGGAATGTAAACAGTAGCCAACTGAACTACTGTATGTTTAGGCATAATAAGGATGCACTATTCCCTGCCTGCTTAGGAATTTACCTTCTGACTTTTGTGGGCATGTTTTATTTTTATTACACCTGCCTCAGATAGCAGTATTATTGTATTATCCAGAATACCTAAATAATCCTTATTTTCTAAATGGAAACATCATTTCCTCAGAAAAGGGTACACAGGTTCATAGAAAAAGATAATTAGTCATATCAAGTCTTACGGTTGAACATGTGCCTATTCTCCATTAAAGATTTAAAAATAATGAAACAAACACTTTTACAGAAACGCCTATGTCTCATGGAAAAATTATTGAGGTCATTATTATTTTCCTTGAGGAATGCAGATCAACTATAATTATATGCGACACTTCTGAAACAATGTGGTGTCATTCCAACTACTTCCTCTTCAAATATTTTAGATGGATTAGCTATACCAACCTGTTTAATTCAGCAGGTTCGTCAAAAACTACTTTTCCTTACTTCTAAACATAATATTTTCATTAAAACTAGTTTTCATTGGAAATAGAATATACTTTAACATAAAAAACAGAAGGCCACATATGACTAGAGCTGTAAGTTTATACTTAACCAATATGATTTAAGAAGATTTGTTTCTGAAAAAATAATATAAGACTGGGGCTTATTACTGGCCAAAATCTTTTCCTTCAGGGAAAGCATGTGTTTTAGTATTATTACTCGGAAATTTGATACTACATATTATTTTGTACTTTTTATATTCTGTACTAGTTACATTTTTTAATAGAGAAGATTCCAAGATATTAAAAATATTTAGCATTTTTATTCATCAAAAATGAAAGCCAGAAATAGCCTTGCTGCTTCTGAACAGTTGGGAAGTTTTTCAAAGCTGGAGTATCTGGAATGGTTTAGGTACAGAGGCAAAGGAATACAGAGTGAACAGTCACTCAGCATGGTTCATCTATGTAAAGACGACAGCTCGAACGCATTTAGTGGTTTTTACTTAATTATGCTCTTTAGTGAGTTATTGCAAAACTAAAATTATCTAACGATCTTTTTTCCATTGCTGTGGACATTTTAGTAGTATTTCATTTATAAAAAGTTTGGCCCTGATAATCTATAGATAAATTATAGGTCCTTTCCCTTTCTTTCTTCACGTTCTCTTTTGAATCTGTGACCCAATTTTGTCATTTCCCTAAATTGCATTATATAGAAAAAACACATCGGCTCAAACTGACAATTCCCTTTCAGCTGGCTCAACTGTCTGGAGCAGCTGCAGCTGCGGAGGGCTCACATAAAATTGCTCATGGCCTTAAGTCACATGAGCTTTCTACAGACGCAGTCACCAGAAAATACACGTTACTCAAAACGCTAGGTAGAAGCCAAGAGTCTTTGTAATTCACATTACAAGAAAAAGATAATTCACATTGCAAGAAAAAAATAGTTTACTACTTTCCAGTGTTTAACAGCATGAAAACCCAATGATACATCTCATACTTTCAGCTGAGAATCATGAAGATCACTCATAAGTAGGCATAAGAACTTGTTTTTCATATTAAATAAACCAGTTAATGTTGAAATTTAAATTTATTTGAAAGGATGGCGTTATGGCCTGAACTGCAATCTTTCAAAAATTCACATGGTGAAGGCCTGACCCGCAGTGTAACTGTATTTAGAGACAGGGCGTTTAAGGAAGCGATTAGCTTAAGTGAGGTCACAAGGGTGGGGCTCTAATCCAACAGGACCAGTGTCCTGACAAGAAGAGGAGGAGACATCGGAGCTCTCTCTCTCCACTCACGTGCACAGAGAAAAGGCCACATGGGGCCACAGCAAGCACACCGTCTGCAAACTGAGGAGAGAGACCTCACCAGAAACCAGCCCTGCTAGCACCTTGATCTTGAACTTCCAGCCTCTTGAATTATGAAAAAGTAAATTTCTGTTGTTTATCTACCCAGTCTGTGGCATTTTGTTATGGCAGCTGAGCAGACTAATATAGACAGTTCTCTCATTACTCTGGAAAAGTGTGCTAACGGTTTGGACCAGCTGGTCCTATCACAACAAGTGCTGGATTTTAATAATATAGGTTTTTAAACTTTAATCAAATATTCTATACCAATGTTGTAAAGATAAAATTTCCCCCTGTTCTATATGTGCCTTAGGGGCTTTCAAATGTTTTGACTGTGATCCACAATAACATTAGTATGTACGTATGCACGTATGCATATATGTTTATAATACGTGTGTGTGTATATATATACACACACATATTTCACAAAACATTACTTCTCCTAATTATCTAACTATAAGAGACATGTTCTGTTCAATTCTATTTTATTTAAAAAATAAATGCTGTGTGTGTGTGTTCTTTTTTAAATCCATTTGAAAGCCAGTTTATGGCTAGATGTTTGAGAAGTTCTCTTTTTAGAGATGCTACCCAAAATATTTCCTAGTTAAAATTTCCTTTTCTCCTTAGCATTTCAAGATCCTTAAAAGTACACCGAAGTTAAAATAACCACAATTCTTTCTCTTTCTCTTTCTCTCCCTCTCTCTCTTACACACACACACACACACAATGAGCCTAAGATTGAAGTGATTCACTTGGGGTCCTGTTCAAAGCAGAACTTTTCACATGATTTAAACTAGAATGTCAAGCACATTGTTTTGTTGACTTGTTTATAATAAAAGATACTGGTTTTGTGATGCAACTAAGATATAGATTAAAGCATGCAGACTAAATATGTGAATTCTCAATTGAGAAACAGGGCATCCATGAAGGGAAGTGTTGGATAACTTACACTCTAATTTCCACAGGCACTTTGAGTATTAATAAGAAACTGCATGACTTGATGAGTTTCAAAGAAAATATTCTTTGAGAATGTTTATGATGAGATAATATACGATGAGACAATAATGAGAGAGAAGTTAATTTTATCATTTCCTATAGTACTCTATTTCTTTCGGCTTTATGTTTCAAGAATCATACTTGATTCTTTATCAAATCAAAAAGATTTGGACACTGGTGTCTCTTGGCCCATGAATAGCAGATAATGAAATGGAGGGATAATTAAAGGAAGACAATGGGTACTATAGTTGCAAGTTTTACAGATTTGCTGTTCTCTGAAAAAATTAGTGATGTTGGCTAACACTCAGAAGCAAAAAATACAGAATTCATAATAAAACACTACTCTGTTACACTCAAACTAATAGTACTTCTGGACCTATAAATATGAAATCAAAATTTAATTTCCAAACTATAAAATTTAAAAATCAAGATTTAAATTTCAATATTTCCAAAATTTCATGGGTCAAAATTTTAATGTTCATTTTTATATGTATAGCTGTATAAAGCAGGTAAAAGAATATCTTTTTGAAGAGGTGAAATCTGTACACTGGGAAATTGGCCATAAAGCACACAGCTTTGGGGGAATATATGCATGTGTATATGTGTGCATTTGCACGCATTTATAGAAACATAAAAAAAAAGGAAATAATTGAATATAGTGAAAAAAAAACAAGATTATACAATACATTCACTTTTTCATGCTATTGATATCTCGACCCAAATATTTTCTATTGTATTTTTCTTTACAGAATAATATGTACTTTGTGCCCGTGAAGAAAAAAAAGGAAAAGGAAAAAAAGAAATAACAAAGAAAATATTTCTAATTACATCCTTTTCCATTACAAATTAGCCTCAGTACCTAGATAGCATCTGGCACATAAAGGTGTTTAGTATATATTTGTTAAGTAAATGAATTATAACTCAAATATTTTCCCATTACCATATACAGCAAATCCACACCAAATATAAATATTAAAACTTTAAATAATCTTTAAATATTTTTAAATGTGAATGTAAAGAAGAATTAAAAGTAACCTTTGCTGAATTAACTAAAAAGGAGTATTTTTACACACTTCTTAATTCTCACCTCTTCTTTTGTCTTTTTTGATATAACTCGGAGCCAGTCTCCAATCATGCTCAGGACAGCAGCAAAGTAAGCCAGCCCTACAAGGATCCAAAACCACACGACAGGCTTATAGAAGTCTAGATATTCAATATCTGATCCACCTGTGAGAGAAAGACAAAGCAGAACAAAATAACTTCATATTCATAAAAGTAAACAATATAGATATTTGCTGAAATTATTCAACTGAATTTTGGCTTGCAAAACAGAAATCTTCGAGCAATTGATCCACGTTATTTCCTTCATATGCAATTCCTTGTTTTCACTCATGTAATCCTTACCTATTTTTCAAGAATCAGTTGAGTAAGTTCTTAATGAGACTTTTCATTACTTCTCTTGGTCATAATGATTCTTCGTTGTTTAATGTTTCTTTTTTGTTTATTACGGTCTGTCTCAACTAGTCTAGCACTTACAGAATCCATGTGTACCAGTTTGCTCTTTCCATCTTTATTGTAACAAGTAGAAGACAGAGACGGGATTTTTTATTTTTGGTATGCATTTGACGTAGTGTATTTACCTTGTTGCCAATCATTCATGCCAACCAATCAGTACATGCTGACCCATCAATTCAATGCCAACCCAGACAGAAAGTGTTTCTTATTTTAAAGCCATCAGGACAACGGATTGGTAACAAATGCCAGAGACAATACCTTGATGGGTCTAATTTGAACAAATGGTAATTCGCAGGTGAGTCAGTCATTCATTATTCTCTGACTTTTCAGAGGAATTCCCATGTTTGTCACAAATTTAAATCCCTAGCTTTCAAGGAAATATTAGTAAAGGAGATCTTTTGCTTTACGCTAATCCTTGTTACTTCTCCATCCATTTGGTACAGTAACTGCACCTATGAGAATGCGAATACATTTCAACACATCCCTACTTCAGCGCATATTAATGGTGTTCTTATTAAATCTTAAACACCAAAAGAGTTACTTTTTTTCACAAGAGAGGGAAGCAAGTATCTCCCTTGAGAAAGTCATAAGTTAGCCTGAGAAAGCCTCACACAGACTATTAACCATAATGAGGTACATGGAGAGAGAACAAAAAGGAATAAAAAGTGCTGAGAGGACACAGAAGAAGCGATTTTTACATCTTGAAGGGGGAAGGTAAGAAGATAGAAGGTGAGTTTTAAGTAATGAGGATCAAAACAGAGAAAAGTTCAGTGTGAAAATACACAGTACATTCAGGGGACTTTCAGTAGTGGCTAAAGCTACATGTGGATTGGGGCCAGGGAGCAGAGGGGTAGAAGAGAGGAATCTAGAAAAAGTAAGTTGTGTCAGGTTGTAAGGACTTGTTCCCGATGCAATGGAGAGTATGCAAAAGTTTATATACAGCGAAGTTTTACATTCATGTTTGACTGCATGCACAAAAAGATCTAGTGGCAGGGAAGGAAGGATTGAAAGAGAAGCTTCATGAGAAATTTTCATTCTGAACTAGCTAAGAAATTACTGTGCCCAAGTTAGGGCTGGAACGGAAAGAAGAGGCATTTCAGAGGCTGAATCATCAGGGACTGATGACCAGTTAGGTGGTGTGATTAGTGGAAGGAAGGGCTCTAGGATGACTAGAACCCTCACTAGGGAAATGCTGCCAGCAATTGAACAGGAAACACAGGGGAAGCAACAGTAACTAAGAAAAAGAAAAGTAATTCACATTGGGACAAATAGATTTGAAGGGCTTTAGGTATAAACAGGTGGAGATACTCAGCATGATCCTTAAATACAGATCTAACACTTAACAGGGCAGAGGGGGAGAGAGGATTTCAGGATCAACAACACAGAGACCGGGGATCCTTAAACAGGGGCTGTGGATGTATTTAATTCACAAAAACTCAAGCCGTACATTCAGAAGAACAGCTAATAAACAGCACGTATACATTAAAAATCAAATACAAAATTTTGAATGTAACATTACTGTATATAAATTAGACTGTGAGTTGCCCACAATGACATTTTCCAATATTAAAGGGTTAGAGTAAAAAGAGGATATTTTTCTATCGAGCAAATAATACAAATAGACACCAGTTCAGCTTTCTTTTGGGACATGTAATAATTTTAAGAATACAGCTTACAAAGTAAATAATATTACCTTCAAAATGCTGTAAAAATTTTTACCTTGTGCTGCATTTTTAAAAATATCATTTCTGGGAAGGACTGTGGAGGCTAAATGCATCTCGTGATGGTTAAGCCTTGGCCCATGGTGGATGCAGCTCCACAGATTCACAGAAGTGACGTAAGAAGTGTGTGTGGAAACTTGGTATACGATAGGCTCACCAGCAAATTCCATTTTGCAAATGTTTCCATTTCAATGAAACCAAAATGATATTTCATCCCAAGTACTTTCTCTTTCAAAACCAGAAAATCTTCATCCAAATACTTGTGACTCACTTTACACATAAGTTCACCAAGATGTTGATTTTAGAAGTTAGTTCATGCTCAAGATAACTTTTTATAAGCCCTCTTTCTTATAAACAGGATGTCACAGTTTGCAAAGAGTAAATTAGCTTAATCACTAACGGTCTACATTTGGGTAAAATGTTCATCCCACAAGTTTTAGCGGATTCTAAGCCTGGGGTGGCAGGGGGAATATTTTCCCATTCTTAATTGCCACTGTTAAGATGAAATACCACAGTCAAATGATCTCGGAAAAACTAATATATATAGGAATATTGTCAAACAACTCACAAATCCTATTCGCTTTCTGATATCGAAGATTTATGAATTAATTTCCACATTACTCAATTCACTTGATCCAAGACTCTTAGACAAATTAAAATGTCTATAATGTTAAGATAACTTGCTAAAAGGAGGTAGCTTTATTTTTAAATTAGAAAACATTTAAAAAATTTCTTGGCTGTCATAAGCATTAATTTTAGTCTAGCTAGCATTCAGGAAAGCTGTACATGGGTCTCTTGCTTATTAAGAACCCAGGGAAATTTCTCTGTCCTGGATTCACTCCCTATATACTCCCTATCCCCACCTCCACTCCCCCATTCCATCATTTTTTCTCTTGCCACACAGTCCTGGGATGCAGCCTGCGGGATGCTACAACCCACTCCCGCCTCTTGAATTCCTCACCCACTTGGTAGGAACAGTCACCTCGTTGCTATTTTCTTTGTTGCCACTCAAAATACGCACACAAGTCCTTTCCATTTTAAGAGCTTTCTGGCTAAGTATTACAGGAGAGCAGACAGATGGTAATAAAAATTACCAGGAGAGGTGGAGGTACAAAGGTTTCAGTAATCTTACAAACTTTTCCAAGTGGTTGAAATAAGTCTCTTCCTAAATCTCACATGATATGTGATAGCCTCTTTTAGAAGGTGCCATTTTTCTCTGGACTTCTTCTCCTTGGTGATTAAATAAGGAAACCAACCAGACTCTAATCTCATGTAGCAGATTACAGTACTAAAAACGTAGCTCAGGAAACGTTCAGGCTGGTATTATTGCTAGGAACCCATTCTCTCCTCAGGTGGGTTTCCTAAACATTTGCTGGCAACAATCCTCCTACTCATCATTAAGAAAGCCCATTTCCTATCTGGTCCCAAAGAGTTGTTAGTTGGCGGCAGAACAGCCCATGAGGCCACAGAAGGCACTTCCTGGAAGGTTCTTTTATTTTGGTCTGGTAGTCCTACCTAACCCAGTCTCTATGCTCATTTCAGCTGAAATACAAAATATTCAAAATCTGATTGAGAGAGAGAGAAATGGAAACTAAGACTGGCTGCTGCCTACCTAAATGAAATCATTCCATCCTAAAGCCCCGGGGGGTGGGCGTCGAGGAGAGTTACATTCCCACTCCTCACACTTCCACTGATTTAGGACAGGGCTATTAGTAAGACCATTTGCCCACAGATTTAAGCCATAGCTCTAGTCGCCTTTACCAGCAATTGAGCTGATAATTCAATTGTCATCACTCTCACAGTCTGTTCAGAACTTAGGAGTGAAAGACAGGTTTGTACTGGCTCCCCTAAAACCCCAAGGGGAATTATTGCTCCTTTATAACAGAGAAGCCATAGTCTCAGAGGGTAAAATGACATGTGTCAGGCCACATAGGAAAGGGGGCAGCTGAGTCAGAACTCAAACCCAGGCCTGCCTCGCTCCCCATCACAGGCTCTTTTCACTGAACCAGGCTGTCCATGTCACCTACGATCTTAGCTACTGTCCTTCCCATCATTTATCCACCAAGCTTTTCTGCCCATCCTGCATGGTTGACACTTAGCTAGGGCTGGAAACACAAAGCCAAACATGGTGTGCCTCTGCCCCTCCAGGTTCTTACCGAGAAAACAGGTGGCTTTGACGATAGCACTGCTTTAGCAGGAGGCTCCTGACCTTCCTTCGGTCCTCATTCCAACATTTTCCAGCAGTCGGCCCTATTATGCCCTAAAGAATTTGAGTATACAGTGCCCTCTCCCCCTTAAACTTAATCTTTCCCTGTGATGCTCCTGAATCACAAAATATTTATAAAGAAAAAAAAAAGATATATCCTGGATTTAAAGAATCATCTAGCCATTCTGGGCTAAGGTTATCAACTCCATGCTCGCCTCTGGTTTCCTAAAATGATGTTATAGACTATAGATAGATAACTTTGTTCTAAAGAAAATGGAGGCCATTTCTTTACACTGGTCTATAAATATTTTAGTTCAGATATCAAATATTCATTTCAGTTTCTTTGGTTTGTTTACTTTTAATAATCAAAGCTACCCTGCATTAATATGAAACAATTATTTTCTGCTTTAGTATATTTTTCTTTTTTTACAATAAAGCAATGTAACTGAATGGAGCATTTTCTCAGTGCTTCAAGAACTAAGAGGCTCTTTGAATAACATAAATTCTGTTTTCTTTTTTACAATTAGAAATATGACTTTAGGATTAAACAATAGCTCATCTGCTAAAGCAAGCTTCTCATATGTTATCAAGTCAGAGAAACACAAGGCATCTATATCCGAACACATAAATGAAACACATTTGAACCTATATTTTGGCATTTTCCACTTCAGCATTCAAGAAGTTGTCCACTTCCCACTCAGTACTTGATCTAAAATTAGGAAAACTTCCATCAAAAACGGCAGTCTCAGGATCATAAAGAAAGAAAGACCAACACATTGTCTCAC